GGTCAGAAAGACCCTGTTATCTAACATCGTTTTTGACATTTGTGCGGTTTCTATGCCAGGTTTTCTATCTGACAAACCTGAAAATTACGCCTGACTGCACAGCAATCACATGTCTTTTTCCAATATTTCGAACCAATTAGTATGGAAAGTCCTTCATAACATAGCCTTGCCGTAATTTAAAAAAAATCAATGCTCACGTGTTTGATACAATGGCTGAATAATTTGCACCCGTTGTTCATCGTCAACCATGGTTTGAATCTATACTAACGTGTTTAGTTTAGCTCAACACCGATGGTTCAAATCTTGGCTATAGTGTTGTCATTTTAAATTGTTAATGTGATGCAGCCTAACGCTTTATTATTAGAAATAAAAGCACAAATCTTACATATGGACGACATCATTTTTTTTTTCAAGTTCTGGAAGTTGTGGAATCATCATTTATAGTCCGAAGGATTTTTTGCTACCATTGGAAGTACCTGAAGGAATGTATGTTATATTAAACATTAAACTAGATGTAAGTGGCATTTTACCCCAAAACAAGTTGCACTAACTTTTAACCCGCCCCCGCCTATTTCACGTATATCAATTATCTCCTTCCATAGATGTAGCTAATTATTTACCTGATAATAGAAGTATACTTTTATCCGGGCCCTTCCTCAGGAGCGGATTCGGCCCTTTGGCATTCAATGTAGTCCCACTTTTCGTTTTATTCATCAAATTGGAAGCAATAGTACTCGTGCTGATTGACGTCTGGTTGACGGATTTGTTGACGGAATTCAACAGAACATTCTTGGTATTCTGATACGAAGACAGTAGAGCTTTGGAGGGCCCTTTGCACATTGCCGGATCCGGCCGCACCAGGCCTGGTAATCGAGTCTGGAGGAAAAGGAAATAGATGTAAGATGATGATAAGAAAACTTGAAATTAGAAAGTCAGGTAGAAATCTGTGGGATAAACTTTGTAGTACTATTAATAAAACACTTGGTTAACTTACAATAATAGATCATTGTCCGGCCCCTTGCAGAGTGTCGAATCTGGTCCTTTAGCCTGTGTTCGTTGCTGCTGCTTTGATAGTTGACTGAAAATAAATAAAAACGTCTAGAATTCCAAACAAACTAGTTGTGTTCAGTAGCTGCTTTCATCTATCCAACACATTTTACTCTGAATTCTGCAATAATAAATTTCTATTACCTGGTATGATTTTTTTAGGAGCATCCACCTGTCTTTCATATTAAGAGCTGCAGTGATCTTGTCCCAGGAGTTCTCTTTGGAAGATCCATCTTCAGGTGTGCTGGAAGAACCATCGTCCTGTTTTGGAGAAGAATTACCACTTTTGTTCGTTTTCCAATGCAATCTAAAAAATATTTATGAAAGAGAAATTTAGTAACTTGTCAATGGCAATATTCTAATTATATTATCTTACCCAGTAATAGAATCTCCACCATTGACATTGTTTTTATTCCTCTTGTCAGTACCACCAGCACCTCACACTACTTTTTTGCTACTTTTGCTTTTCACACTCTCCACCTTGTCGGTTTCATCTGTACAAACAACATTTCTTTCATCACCATCATCAGTCTTAATCTCCACTATATCCTCTTTGACTTCACTACTAGTAGTTTCTTGGGCAGTACTTGATGTCAAGACTACCTGATCGGCGGAAACTTCTGGTTTAACGTCTCCAGGTGTTGGTTTCTTTTTGTCGACTACTACACTATCCAGGAACCTTTTGGCTTTTTGTTCGCTATAGTTGGCACTGTCTAAAGCTAAACGGACAAGTTCATTGGACACTTGTGCGTATTGGGTTTGCATCAACTGTTGCACTAAAAGAGAAAAAAAAATGGTTTGGCTTTTGGATACTTATTCATCAAATTTATCTACTTACTTTTGGTTTTCTCTTCCCTGCTCTTAGCAATCTTATCCAAGTCCTTCCCATCATCCTCACCAGCTCCAGACTTCTGGCTTTTTTGGTCGCCATCCGCATTCTGTTGTTTATTGGTGGATTTAGAAGTCAATTTTGATGCTTCTTTCTTCTTGGCGTCTTTGCTGTTGCACTTCTTTCTGTCTTCCACAGTGGTGAGCGGTGAAAATGTGACTTGTTTTTCGTAACCAAGGCCTAGAAGTTTCAAGGACGCCCCTTGAACATTGTTGTCCGATCCTGCTAGAATATCCAGGAGCAACGTCTCGTCTGCTTTCGGGAAAATCGATTTGAGATACCTAGGGAAAAATGATAGATATTGAAGAAAGTTACAAAATACGGTGGAGAGTTACTCCTGCGTTAACATACCTGAGTTTCATCTTTGGCGAAGAATGTGGCCTCGGAGAACTTCTGAACCAAAGGAGATCCATACAGAGTTGTGTGCTATTCCTAGAACACAAGAAACATATTGACAATTTTGTATTTGATATCTAGCTAGAACCAACCTAGTTTTATGTACTTTAGGTCGTAAAAATAGATTTGTTATAAAAAAAAAGGTCAATTAGCAATTGCGTATACTATGCACTGATCGTTAACATAGAACTAGAACAAGAAAAACTTGAAACAGAGTAATTTTATTTGATGATTACCTGAAGATGCCCTGGTTATGGGTGTACTAATCCTTCCGCTCATCATTGGGCTGCCAGATTTCGAAGAATTATCTCGCCCTTAAAAAGCAACAAAAATAGGTGTAAGTGGCATTTTTCGTTAAAGACAAGTAAAAGTTAACGACATGTGTAAATGCCAACTCAATAAGAATCAAGACTTAACTAGATTACATAAAATTTAAACTATTTATTACAAAAATAAAGTTTTCGCTTCCATTAAAAATGCGATTTTAAATTGATATCTTTCAAACAGACTCATAATATCTCTAATTGAATTAATACAATTTAATTTATTTAACACATTCTACTCTGTGTTCTGCAATTGCAAATGTAGTTTTTTTAAGTGTGGACGTCAACGGTAATCAGTAGTACAAACTACGTGACTCATCATTCCAATCTTTGATGATTTTTATAATTCAACTACTTTATATAAGACAATATTTTAGTAGTTAGTTTGGACTAAGAATTCTATTGTCATACAAAGTTTCATCACAATCGCGAAAAGAAGTTTCAACAATTAATTTAGAAGAATCCCAACCGATAAATTTCAAAGGAATTTTGAATTTGATATGTATGCTGAGATTTTCTTTTTGCGAAAACGTTGAAAAAGATTTTTCAACAAATTTTAATAAATAGCTCGGACGATGGCCTTGCAAAACTAATCAACGCTAGTGATTATAAAGCTTGTTCAAATGGCTTTTAAAGTTTTAAAATCGGTACAGCCGTTTTTGACAAAATGTCGGCGAAAATCATACATACTTTATCCAAATTTAGGTCAAGCGGTTCAGAATAACTTGAAACATTGAGAAAATACAAAATTAACAAATAGTATTTTTTAGGAAAAACATATACTTCTCCATGAATATATCATATTCTATAATATTGTCTAGGTACTTCTCCTGCAAAAAGTTAATAAACACCATAGATATAGCTTCAGACAGTTTCAAGTCTACCAACACAAAAGAGCCAACATCAAGAAAACATAATTTATCAAAATAAAATAGATGCATCAATAATATCTAATCTTTCGCTTATTTGATATGTGCATTACCAAGGAGACCAGTATCAATAAATAATATTGTTATCCAAAAATTCGTCCATAAACGTGAGTGATAAAATTTCCTTACAACAAAATATTAAATAATAGTTATTTGATAAATATTGTGATCTATATCTCTCAGAATTTGTGTAATGGCTGAGGAGACTCCAGTTACGATTTTAACAAACTTTTGCGTGGCCAGCAAACTGCCATTGCCTGAATTCACCTTGATTCATGACGGAGCGGGCACCAAGAACCCCATTTTCAAATTTGAATTGCGTCTAATATTGAAGGATACTAAAATAACAGTAGTCGGAGCAAGAACCACAAAGACACAAGCTAAACAGGACTCCGCAAGATTGGTACTTGAGAAGCTATCGGAAATGAATTTAATTCACCCAAAAAAATTGCAGGTTAAGGACACCGGTGAGGTTAGTCCATCCACCAGTGCTAATTCCGCAGCAGTGGGACTGATAGCTGAGTTTTGTGATAAAAAACATCTACCGACACCTTTGTCTAGTTTAGTCGAAGATACAAGGCCAGATCTTGGGGAAAAATTTCCTACCCAATGTTCTGTATCTACTTTTGAAGAAACTGCAAGTGCATGTACCAAAAATGATGCAGAACACTTATCAACTGAGAAAATGATAAATATGTTAGATGGATTAGATATTGATGAGCATGTAGAGCCAATCAATGAAACGGTGGTTCCTAAAATTTTAAAAGCAAGATCTAAATTTCATCTGCCGATTGTGATAAATAATATAGCGGAATATCACCCTTTCGTCAAATGTGGTGAGGAAATTGTAAAAAAGCTGTATCGATTTTGAACGATAATTCTTTAGGAGCAGAAGAAAAATTGAATTTAGTTATGAATGCCTTAAATCTAGATTATGAGATTGTGGAAAACGCCACAACAGAAAATAGCACCATCTACGTATTAACAATATGTGCAATGGAGCCCCAAATGCTAGTGAGCGACTACACTTTGCCAGATTTGTACGATAGGACAAATAAATATTTGAGCGAATTTTTGGAGTGATTCCATTATATATATATATATATATATATATATATATATAGTATATATATTATAATTAGCTTACTGTTATTATACAAATATAATTTTACTAAACTTTTATAGTTTTTTATTGAATTTGTCATAGTTCTGATTTCACCAGAAAACCTGAAGAGCTAATTTTATGTTTTCTCGACGTTTCTCTAAGTTATATTCCAAAATCTAATTTGGAAAAAGTATATGTGTGTGTATAAGGAACCATTTTTGACATTTCGTAGATGTTCTCTCAAAAACAGCTGAACCGATTTCAACAATTTAAAAGCTTTCAATGTAACTTTCAATGTGGAGCGACTAAGGCGGATGCTGAGCACGCCATTGTGGAATGCAAAAAATGGGAAAAAGGTAGGCAAGAAATATGAAGGGAGATAGTTACGCATAAAATCTCCCTCCCAACTAATTTTATAACATTAGTGACAAAAAAAAAGGATATATGATGCCCTATATAATTATATACAATCAAATGAAATAAAATTGTAAAGATAACTTATAAAATGTATGTGACTAATGTACGTGTATACAAGGTCAACAAATAAACAATAAAAAAAACTCCATGAAAATTTTGCACAAAAATCGGCCAAGCCGTTTTCTTCTTATTAGCAGGAAAGAAGAAAATCTTACACCACGTTTCAGCCAAAAACTCTAAAACAATTTCGGAAAATCCAAAGATTTCAGTTGAAAATGGTGCTGAATAATTTCTGGTTTCCGGATCGTTTCTTTGCAATTAATTGTTGAAGTCGTTTTTAATAAATTTTAATAGAGTTCATGGTCTAACTAAACAAACATCCTAAAATATTATAGTCCTGAAACCGATTCTGCCTCACAACAACTCAATGTTATGGCAAGACCATGTTACGCTCCAACTTGCATACATAATGCTACTGAATCATACTGTCAAAATGTCATGTATTTGCTGTGCATTCTGGTGTTTTACACATAAACTGCAACGTCACTCGTATGTTATGAAGCTGGGTCAGAAACACTCTGTTATCTAACATCGTTTTTTACATTTGTGCGGTTTCTAGGTTAGGTTTTCTATCTGACAACCTGAGAAAAACGCCTGACTGCACAGCAACCACATAGCTTTTGTCAATATTTAGTATGGAAAGTTCTTCATAACATAGCCTTGACATAACATTGGTCTGTTATGAAGCAGAATCAGGCCATTAATTTAATTAATTACCCATAATTGGTGTCATCTGCAAAGCATTAACAGCAATATTGGCACCGGATAAATGTCTCCACCTTGCGGGAGGCGTACGAAACACCAACGGTCCCGGTTCCGATATAGGATGCTTTTCTACTTGCAAAGCCGAGATAACAACCGCTTCACGGTTGTAATACCTGATAAAAATAAAAATGCAATTAGTACTTTATTTTTAATCTATAAATAAAATAAATATTATTATTTACTATTTAATTATTTATTGTCTAAAATATTTGTGATGCACTTGGTTATTTAAGTAAGTGGCATTTCTTTCGTTAAATGTCCTTTTTTCTCCTTTCTTAGTTATTTTTCTATTTTTTATTATTTTACCATAAGATAAGAGAGCAAGCTTAGGTCAAAAGAGTCCTGAAAATTTTAAAATATCAAAACTTACTTTTTAAGTAAAATCCTTATATGTGTATCAGTGGCTGTTGGAAACATTGCATGAATACGGTTTACGGCTTGTTCTATTTCCATTGGATCTGGCTGCAATAATAAACAAATAAATAGTTATAAATATTAAGTTGTACATATATATATATATATATATATATATATATATATATATCTATATATAACATTCTTCCTCGTATGTAAATATACTCCTCCAAATAATTATTTGGATTTTGATAAATCTTTCTGAAGTTTGTTAAGGGAATTTTTTCTGATGTATGTGATTATAAAAATATAGTAATATTGTAGAAATAAATAGAAAATATTGCAAACAATGACATGTTATTGTTTGTCATTGAAAATATTTGAGACATTGTTTGGCATTGAAAACAGGAAAGGTTCTGTGTGCTAATGGGGATGCCATTGGAATATTGAGGCTAATGTCTGTCAGATGTTTCAATGTTAACGAGGACATTTGCTTCTGTTTTATATAATGGATTTCAATAGAGTCAAATAGAGTACGCTTATAGGTAGTACTTTGAAATCTGTTAGCATCGATTGAAGGCTGATCCAGAAAGTGTACATAGAACAGAAGGTAAAGGTTAGAGTAAACCAAGAAGATAGAAAGAGCGTTGAAATAGGTAAAGGAGTGCAGAATATCTTTAGATACTGGACACTTTTCCATTGAAACAAGAAGAATCGTCACCATAAAATACGCAGATGATCTCGTGGCGATATAGAAAATCAAATCCAAATATGATGAGCAGAATCGTTGAAGTGGGTAAAAGATATGGAATAGACACCAACATCGACAAATCTGTCGAGCTGAAGCGATAAGAATGTGGAAGCAAGATGAGCCTCTGAAGATGAAGGTAAGAAATCAAGAATTGGAAGATGTGGATCACTTCAAGTACTTGGGAAGCATCCTGACCAGAGATGGACACTGCCTGAGATAGATCAGGGCAAGGATTGCAAGCGTCAGCGCCACGTCGATGCGCTGAATGCCAATGTATTCACGAAAAAGAAAAAGCTTTTGTCAAGCGAATAGGGTTTCGATTTGCAGAAGAGGCTAATAAAGTATTATTTCTGGAGCATAGCTCTGTGCGAATCAGAAATACAGGCAAAAACTATCTGGAGAGTTTTAAAATGTGATGCTGAAGATAAATGGAGAAGATAAAGTATCAAATGAGGTGTTAAAAAGAGTAGTCAAAGAAAAAACTCTAGAGAATTGGAAGATCTGGATCACTTCAAGTACTTGGTAAACATCCTGACCAGAAATGGATACTGCACGAGAGAGATTAAGGCAAGAATTTCGAGCGCCAATGCGGTATTCACGAAAAAGAGAAAGCTTCTGACAAGCAAACTAAGTCTCGATTTGCAGAAGAGGCCTATGAAGTGTTATTTCTGGATTATAGCCCCACTAAGCCAAAATCCGTAATATTTATGTAATTTTTACGCAAAAAAGTTACATACTTATGTCATTTTTACGTAAGATTAATGTAAGATATGTGTCATAATTTCGCCTATTTTAAGTAATGTGGATTACGTAATATGGATTACGAAAATATTTCATAATAATTACGTAATTTTTGAAAAAAAAAATGACGTGGAGGGGCCCTTTTTTACACACATACATAATTACATACAGGCATATTCATATATATGAACACACACACACACATACACACATATGCGTATATGTGAACATATACATTCATGAACTTAGGAATGCGTATACACATAGTATGTACATACATATATAATTTATATGTATGTACATACACACACACACACACACACATATATATATATATATATATATATATATTATATATACTATCTGAAAAATAAAAGAAAAAGCACATTTATATGGTATGTTTATTTTTTCGGCATATGTACACAATTTTAACATTAGCAAATCCACGAAGTAATTAATAATAATTCACAATTTTTATAAAATAATGTAATTACATATGACATATTGATCAACATTTTCATGGCAAATAATAAAAGAAATGCAAATTTAAAATTAAACTCGAAATAAAGATCATCGAAGTATCCTTTACAAAGTCTTCATAAGTTCTTTCACTAAATATTTCATGGAATATATTATGTAATTAGGAATTGTATCTTCAGTTAAAACTAAATGTGGTATAAGTCTATGATGTCTTCTTTACAAAAGCATTCTCGATATCTATTTCATGTCCCATTTGTGATGAAGAAATGCATCTCGGATATAAATTATTAGTTTTCGATTTTCACCTGAAATAAAAAACATGGTAATAATTTCTATTTAACTTTTAATACATATGTTTTTTATATACTTACACAAAGCAAATGGTTTTCTAAAGGTCAAGAGATTCTGTTATAAATAATTTGTCACTGATTTTTTATTAACAATAAAATAATATTTAGAATATGAAGAATAGAATAGAAGTTATTTATATATCTAATTATTATTAGAAAAAAATTTAATAACACACACTATCAATTTTTAGGTTAATGGAGCGTTTTAGAGTAAAGATTTAAGTAATTCATGTAATTTAAGAGCCTTTAAAATACATTTATTATAATCATATATTTTCACATATTTAATATCACTTTCACATTTAATTAGCAAATTAAAAATATTAATTAGACACTACAAAACACAACACTTAATTTAAAACACATGGCGAATAGTCCCATTTCCCATAATGCATTTCAGGATAACTTGTTAACTTGGCATCATAGCCTAGGCTAGCGGCCGGCGGCACTTATGTCGGTTAAGGCCGTTCATTGGTTGACAGTTTCGCTCATGAAACGAAATATTCCGAAAAATCACGAGCTGTCGATCTTTATGTAATATATATGAAATAAAATCCTCATTTTTCTTACGTAATATTTTTTGCAGGCAAATTACGTAATATTTTTGTAATTATTTCGTAATATCTAATTACGTAATGTAGATTACATATTTCTTACACTAAAATTACGTAATATTACGTAACTGGTTTAGTGGGGCTTTATGCAAACTAGAAACAAGGACTGGAGTGTTTTAAAATGTGATGCTGGAGAAAAGAATATCTGGTGCAAAAAAGAATATAAAAGAAAAAGTAAAGAAAACTAAATTGGACCCAGTCTGCAAAAAGAGTGCCTCCTACACGATGTCGTCGAAGGTAAAATGGAAGAGCTGAATGGAATGGAAATAAAAAGAATGCTGATGATTGATGACTTACGCAAGAAGAGAAAATACAAGAAACTGGTAGTCGTAGAACAGAACCAGGAAGCATGAAAGCAAAAGTTTGGAAAGGAAAATAAGTGTATAAAGGTAATAAAATGATAATTGGTATAATAAACAGGGAAAGGAAAAACTAATCATTGATATGTGGTGTTCTCGCGTCATGAACCTGCTTTCCTTAACCAATTATAACTACTATTTATTATTATTTATACATAACTACTTACATTTAACAATAATCGATTTTGTGCGATTGGGCTGCCATCTGTCGGCGTGTGAAAAGCGGCCTGGACCGGAAATTGTGCAGGATAGACATGATATGGTGATGAATTGGCCTAAATAAAAACTTGGTATCAATATTTATAATTCTTAACTAATAATAATAATAATATTCATAAACAATATTTGCATTTTTGAGAGATTCTGCCACGGAAGTATAGAGGCAGCACTGTTAACAATCATACACCATAGACATTACATTACATAGAGTAGCTAGTCTTCATATGTTTTTCCGTTTATATAGTGCTCAAACATAGAAGGATATGTGACGTCACATGTCTGAGCGAACATTGCCGACGACAATCGCGAAACTCTCCTGATTGATCAAATGTCACATGTCATATGTTAAGTGCCTAACATAGACCTTATAATATATAAACCGATTTTAACAGGTTCGATTTCATGTACATTTATATTACATGAAAAAATATTATTAAAATCATTTTTTACAAAATTATCAGTAATAACAATTGCCATTATATTATTGAAATAAAAAATATGACATACGACATTTAATCAATCGGGAGATTCCGCGATTGTCGTTGGATGTCGGCAATGTTCGCTCAGACATGTCACTTCATAGCCCCTTCTATGTTTGAGCGCTTATTTTGCGATAGATTAGCGGTCCATGTAATATAAGGTCTGTATCATACACATATATGTATATACACATATAAAGTAAAATCCCGTTAAGACGATTTTCGAAAAACCGGACCAAAAACATATATCAAGTGCTGGTCGACGTAAAGTTTCCTGTTATGCGAGTAGTCGTATTAAGCACGATTATGTCTTAACGAGGTTCTATGGTATATACCAATGCAATAATAATCGGTTAATAAATACATCTCTATATTCATATATTCAGAGTTCAATAATATCATAATTCAATAATAATGTTAAAAAAAATTCTATTCAAAAACCTTCATAAATTTATTTAATAATATCATTTCTTTAACTATGTAACAAACCCAAATTGCAAACATTAAGTTTTTTTTGTGTTTATTTTTTGACTTTGTAGTCATATACCTTCATCAATCAACTTTACAATTTTTACAAGTATTGAATTTAAATTTGTTTATCTATGGTGTTAAGTTATTATTTTCAATTTGGGTTCGTAACCTTGCTAAAGCGATTGTTGCGCACTCACGTGGCGGGAACTCAACAAAAACTCATGTCATTAATTGATATTATAAATACGAAATTTGTTGTTACTATCTAATTATTAGTTTGTGAATTTTTTAATTAAATGAATACTGACTTGAACAGGGCCACACTCGTTCATTATTCCATTTATTTGTTTCAATTTCAGTCTCGGGTCCTCCCATGATGTAGTCTTTGTGTAGTGGTTCAGATAATAACTGAAATATAAAAATATAAATAAATTATATATATATATATATATAATAGTTATTTAAAATTATATTACTATCATAAACTATTAATATAGTCACATTAAAATAATTATTTTAATTTAAATTTTCTCTGAAGATTGAAATAATTATTATTTTTTATTTTTAATATTTTGATTTTATTTAAAAAATATTCATTCATATAATTAATAATCTTTAAAATTATTTTAGTTTCATTTCATTTTTTTTTTTTTTTAAATATCATTCAATAATAAACATAATAAGTTTGATTACACAATTTGCAAACAAATCTGTTTAAATTCACTTATTATTTTTAATAACTATTATATTTTATTATCACTTATACCACTATTTTTTAAATATTATTATTGATAATATCTTTACAATTAATTTTTATTTCACAAATTTTAGACACTTTTAATTTCTATACTGTTTTAAATAATTAATAATTAAATAGAATCACTTTTATAAATTTAAATAAAAAAATATAGAAATAAACTAGCGGTGTATGGCATCGTGCCTTAAGACAAATTGCTGGAACTTTCCGTCCCGTAATAAATGAAATATTCGAAGAATATTAAATGATTTCAAATATATTATTTTAAATGCTGTAATTTTCATTATTCATATTTTATAGATGAAATATAAGAGCTTATCAATTGGATGATGATAAGATATATGTTTACACAAAAAGAGAATAAAAAAAAACTTAATCAAGTGGAGTTAGAATGAAAGATCTTATCTCATATTTTTAAAAATTATATAAACTGAATTGCAAAGGTAAAATTATTGTGAATACATAGTTTTTTTTTCAAAAAAGTGTACACTATTAATAATATTTATAAGAACTTAAGTTATATAATAATACAACTTATTAATTAAAAAAAACATAATATATATTAAACACATAACTATAGCTATTTTTTTTAACTTTGCGTAAGGTATGTTATTGTAATCGTTCCAAAATCTAAATTGAAAAATTTTGCATATTTTTATGTTTCAAATATTTCTGAACCTTTTGGCATACCTTACAAAAAATGGATGTATGGATACAATTTTTCGTTCAGGTTTTCTGGCGCACGGATCAAACGATTTGAATGGTTCAAAAAACATTCGATTCCTTTTGATAGGGAGATGTGCTGATTGGCTTTTCGCAAAGTCAGATCTAAACGTTTCGGAGATACGGAGCAAAAAGTGCAGAAATTAGAAATCGAGTTTCTGACAAAACGAAGCATCAGATTTGAATGGTCAAAAAAACATTCAATTCGTAATGACAGGGATAAGTGGTGATTAGTTTTTGGCAAAGGCTGGTATAACTGCTTCGGAGATACCGAGGTTAACTTGCAAAAAATGACAGTTTTTGAGAGAACTAAGCATTTGATTTGAATGATTCAAAAAACTTTCTACATGTGTTGACGAAACGATGGCTTTTGGGAAAAGATTTTTTTTCACAATTTTTTAAAAAATATTTTGTTTTGGCTATCGAAAAAAATTTGGAATTTATTTTTAATTCTAGCTAAAGTTCTAAAGCTCACTTATATATTTCAAATAAATAATTTTAACTTTGCAATTCAGTTTATTAACTTCCCGGAGAGTTTATGTTTTCATCAAAAAATCCGAATTGCTAATTTTCTCGACGTTTCAAGCCATTCTGAATCGAATGAGACCAAATTTGGAAAAAGTATGTGTGTATGCGTGTGAACACATTTTTTGCCGTAAATCGACGTTTTCTCAAAAACGGTTGGACCGATTTCAAAAATTTAAAAGCCAATCGATGTATTTTGATGTGGATTATTTTTTGTCAGTTTTGTCCAGCGATCGGCCTAGACATTTCTTTGTAAATTGGAAAAAGGTATTAAACTTTTCGTCCACATTTAAGCTCATACTACCGAATCGATTTTCAAAAATGAAATACTGTTCGAAAGATATCATTTGGGAATGATACTGATTTTCTTGTAATTCACTGTTGAAAAAAAAATTTAAGCCGATTTTTATGGAACTTTTTTTTGGCGATATGGTCTGGTCTTACTGAAATATTACGTCCTTACGACAAGTAGTTTAATTTTAAAAATTCATCAAAGTTTGGGAAAATGAGTAGTTTTTTTGACGTTTGTTAAAATTAAAATTAGACGATTTACTTAAGTAACTTACTTAAGTTACTTAAGTTTAATTGGTATAACGATAGAGTGTGCGTTCGTTTTGTGTATGTGTAATTATTATTATGTGTGATGAATCCACTAGGAATACTTTTAATCACTCATAAATTAATTTATTTTTATTGATTATTTATACATATCGGGAAGTTCATGTAACTTGCCTCAAGGCAAAACTACCAATACCAACTAGTTCAATTCTTATATAAGGAAGAGTCCTTCATATTATATTTGACTGATTGAGTTATGTTTATTTACTTTTCTGTAAATAATAATTTATTTGAAAACATTTAATTTTCCTCGAATATTCCATTACGGTACGGAAAGTTCCAGCAATTTGCCTTAAGGCACGATGCCATTACCACTAGTTAAACTTAATATTTAATCTAAAACACTGATGACATTGAAAACAAATAAAAATTCCCAATATTCTTATAAATATTAGGATTAGTTGAGTTTTTAAATATTTATTTTAAACTTTAATTTATATTAATATTTAATCCAAAACGAAATAACACTGATGACGTCTTAGACAATCAACTCCCGAAACGTGCAAGTACACCACAAATTTATTTCCAAAACAATCCCCTATATCGTTATAAACAATTAATAATGATTTGTTTAAATAATTACTGCCTGCCTGTCCTATTATCGTATCGGGCTTCCCAGCCCGGCGGCATGGGCCCCCTTTTGTCCACGCCGTCCGCCATGTTACTGTGTTATAGTAGTTGCATAAGCGTCACGGCGCATGCCCGAAAAAGGATTTTACGATATTGATGTTTTAGATTATTGTTTTGATTTGATGATTTGAGGGATGGACTAAGAAGATATTTAAACTAGTTGGTATTGGTATTTTGCCTTAAGGCAAGTTACATGAACTTCCCGATATGTGTAAATAATCGACTTAATCAATAAACTAGTGGTGTATGGCATCGCGCCTTAAGGCAAATTGCTGAAACTTCCCGTACCAAAAATTATTATTTATTTAAAATTAACATTTTTGAAAAAAATTTACTCTGAAAAATTAGATTTTTGAGAAACTATAATTTTTTGACAAAAATTCACTTTTTTGAAAAAAAGACTTTTTGAAGAAAAGTGTATTTTGAAATACTTTGGAAATCCTGAACTTTTTTTCAGAACATTCGCACTGCTTTAACTGCATAGAGACGAAATATCGAAGAGCGTAAGCGCCGCGCCGCCGTCTAACGGATAAGCATTGGTACGGAACCCATAGAAATGTAAACAAAATTTATACCAATTGTTAAAATCTCTAAAAAATATCTGATAATTTGATGTGCATATGATTAATGATCATTTTTGACCAGGTGGCATTTTTTTTTACTTTTTTCACTAGATTTCCGAAACCGCTAGACCTGCCTTCAATCAGTTCTTCATTTTGTCAATACAAGTAAAATGTTTTCCTCTTAAAAACTGAGTTACCGTTTTTGGCACTTTTTGCCCAATATCTTCGGAACGGCTAACCCTGCCTTTGCCAAAAACTAATCAGCACGTCTCCTTATCAATGCGAATCGAATGTTTTTTGAATTATTCAAATCGCTTCATTCGTGTTCCCGAAATCGTCGACGAAAATTTATATCAGCACACACATACACACACGCACAAACACACAAATACATCCATTTTTTCTAAGGTATGCCAAAATATTCAGAAACCTCTGAAACGTAAAGATATATACAAATTTTCATTTTCGATTTTTTTGCGATTACTATAACTTACCCTACGAGAAGTTAAAAGTAAATTAATTTATGAGTTATTAAATGTATTCGGAGTGGATTTATTACAAATATTTGAAAACGAACGAACACGTTAACCCAGTAGGAGTATTTTCTAAATTTATTTTCTAAAAGAAAATTTTCAAAAATCAATAATTTTTATAGTTGAACCAGTTTCCGTATGACTTTAATGGTTTAGTATGTTCATTAAGACCAAGTACTATTATCGTTATACCAAGTAAATCGTCTAATTTTAATTTTAACAAATGTCAAAAGAACTACTCATTTTCTCAAACTTAGATGAATTTTTAAAATTGAACTACTTGTCGTAAGGACGTAATATTTCAGTATGTTCTACAAGATCATGATATAAATCGCCAAAAAAAGTTCCATAAAAATCGCCTAAATTTATTTTTCAACAGTTAATTACAAGAGGCTCGGTAGATTTTCACCTAAAGCTAATCCGTATCATTCCAAACTAATATCTTTCTAACAGTTTACGATTTGTTAAAATCGATTCGGTAGTATTTAGATTTTTGAAAATTTGCTTTTAAAAAATACCCCGAACGAACACGTTAATAAGTGTTTGTTTTCAATTAAGTGTAATAATTCACTCGGAATACTTTTAATCACTCATTTATTGATTAAGTCGATTATTTACACATATCGAGAAGTCCATGTAACTTGCCTCAAGGCAATATACCAATACCAACTAGTTTAAAATCGATTCGGTAATATGAGCTTAAATGTGGACGAAAAGTGAACACTTTTTTCCAAATTACAAAAAACGGCTCAGCAGATTGTCGCACAAAACTGAAGAACAATTGTTCTCATTGAGATACATCAAATGGCGTTTAAATTTCTGAAATCGGTTCAGGCGTTTTTGAGAAAACGTCGATCAGAAGTCTAATTCTGACAAATGCCAAAAAACAATACTAATTTTTGAAAACTTTGACGAATTTTTAAAATTAAACTACTTGTCGTAGGACCGTAAAATTTTAGTATGATCTATAAGATTATGGTATCTACCGTCAAAAAAAAAAATCATAAAAATCGTCGATTCTTTTTTAAGAGTTTGTTACAAGAAAACGGCCCGGCCGATCTTTACAAAAAACTAATCAGGTCGATTCCCAACCAACACCATTGAATTCAAAAACTCAGAAACGCTAGTCCTCATCGAAACACATCGAATGACTTTTAAATTTTTGAAATCGGTCAAGGGGTTTTTGAGAAATCGTCGATTTACGGCAAAAAATCTGTTCACACACACACATACTTTTTCCTACTTTGGTCTCATTCAGAATGGCTTGAAACGTCGAGAAAATATATAATTAGCGAATGGATTTTTTTTATGAAAACAAAAACTTCTCCTTCAGGAAGTTAAAAGAGAATTAAAAGTAAAACATTACTTATTAATTATACGTTAAAAGTCTAAACTTTAGACGCTTGCTGTGCGTCATTATTCAGCAAATCAACCAAGACAAAAACGAAAACTTAAGACATTAAAATTAGTTTTAAACTAGTTTTGCATGACATTGTATCTTAAGGCAAATTAGTACCGTAATTAAACATTCGGAAACAAAAATAATCAATTATCAATAAAAATCAATATTTGATCTCTAACCGGAACTCTAATCAAATGAGCAGTTCTCTCACATTCTGCTATTCTTTGCACGTTTTGCTTCATATCTCTGAAACCGCTAGACCATTTTTCGCAAAAATGTAATCAATTATTCACTCAATCAATACAAATCAAATGTTCTTTGAATCATTCTAATCAGATCTGTCGTTCTCTCAACCAATATTTACTCAACCAATACAAATCGAAAGTTCTTTAAACTATTCTAATCGGTTGATCCATACTCTCAAAGCTTGAAAAATTGTTTCCAAGCATACGTACAAACACACGCCACACATTCATCATTTTTTTTCAAAGGTATGCTAAAATGTTCAGAAATCCTTGAAACATAAAGATATACAAAAATGTTCATTTTAGATTTTTTTGCGGTTACAATAACTTACCCTATGGGAAATTGATAATAATGCATCCTGTAGAAATAAACATTTATATTTTCAATATTAAACAACTACATATTTTACACCGAGGAACAAACATAATTGTCCTTGAAATAAAGGATAATAAATTGCCCTAATAATATATATAAAGTAAATTAAATTAACAAAAACTAATAACTTAATTAATAACAAATGTATTTGTAATAAATTTACCTGGCCAATTCTCACAAACAAATGTCGTTTTAAATCATTTGATTCTATAAATCCTTCATTATATATTCCACATTTATAAGGGAGTGAACTTCCTTTTGTTTTTATAAGCTATTCTCATGAACAGTAGTTGTGCAAAATATTTATTAAATCTTTCACCTTCATAAGGCGTTCTTCAGGGTAAAATTTTTTATGCAGGTCTAATGCTAGTTTTGTTATAAATGTTTCGTTGCATATCTCACAATTATAATAACTTTCTCCAGTATGAATCACTTCATGTTGACTTAATTCTTGCATTGTTCTAAATGTTTCATTGCATATTTCACAATTATAAGAACGTTCTTTAGTATGATTTCTTTCATGCCACTTTAATGAATCCTTTCCATTAAATGTTTTATTGCATATTCCACATTTATATGGACGTTCTCCAGTGTGAATCACTTTATGTTGGTTTAATTGATGTTTTGTTACAAATATTTTATTGCATGTATCGCACATATAAGTACATTTTCCAATATGTAGCATTTCGTGATATTTTAAGCATTGTTTGCTTTTAAATATTTTGTTGCATGTCTTACAATTATAAGGACCTTCTCCAGTACGGATTATTTCATGGTAGTTCAAAGCTTCTATTGTAATAAATGTTTTATTGCATATTTTACAACTGTAAGGACGTTCTCCGGTATGAATTCTTCTATGTTGTTTTAATCTATAATTTGATGCCAATATCTTGCCGCATGCCTCACATCTAAAAGGGCATTCTTTAGTATGCAGTAATAAATGATATTCTAAATTACCTAACCTTGAAAATCTTTTATTGCATTCTCCGCCATGAATTGTTGCATGCTGATTCAATGCTTGTTCTGTTTTAAATGTTTTGTTGCATGTCTCACAATTATGAGGGCGTTCTCTGGAATGGAATATCTTATGACGGATTAATCCTTGTTTTAATTTGAATGTTTTATTGCATGTCTCACATTTGTAAGGAAGTTCTCCAGTATGAGTTGATAAATGTTTGTTAAATTTGATGACTGTGTAAATCTCTTATTGCATATTTCGCACTCATAAGGACGTTCTCCGGTGTGAGCCTTTGTATGCCGGTTTAATTTTTGTGTTGTTTTAAATGTTCTATTACATATTTCACAACTATAAGAACCGGGTTCAGTGTGAGTTGATATATGTTTTTCTAATCTCCATAACTTTGTAAATCTCTTATTGCATATTTCGCACTTATGAGGACTTTCTAGAAAGTGAATCATTTTATCTTGGTTTAAAAATTTTTCTCTTATGTATACATTATGGGGTTTCAAGATATCGGTTGTTTCAAGTTTTCCTGAAACTGTTTCAGATGATTCGCTCATATTATTTACTAAATTACTTGTAAAACCGATTTCTTCATTACATATATAAGGTTTTTCATCGTGGTTTTCAATCGCTTCTTGTTTTATTTCTTCATCAATAGTTACCTCTGATTTTAAAAATCGCTGAAGAGATATTTCTTCGTTTTCCAGACATTCTTCTGATATATCATAATAATCCAATTCTTGTTTGACTTGTGGACAATAATCAAATTCTTGTTTAACTTGAGGATATTCGATTGGTTCAATTTTAATTGTTGGGTTTGAGTTTGTTCCTTCAGACATCTTCGCCTTTTGTTGGTTCTCGCACATAAACTGGAAATTTTAAAATATTTTATTATTAATTAATATGTTTTGTTCAAATACAATATAATACTAACGCTAACATTTGTTGTTATTTTATTTTCGCATATAAAACACAATTTCATTAAACACTTTGACATTTCTATTTAATTCTAACCTCGAAGTTTCGTGAGATCAGGTTGGACAACGTTGAAAACATTTCAACGGCGAATTTATCGGCGGCAACATTTAAGTCACAGATTACATATTTACCACAGAGAATTTAATTGATTTTATTTCAACCCAACATCGCGCTTAAACCCTATAATTGATTTGAAATCTTATATTTTAAGGTATTATAGGGTTTGTATGTAAAAAGTTCTGAAAAATTAAACGCTGTAGTTTTTGAATGGTGCCAATTTTGAAATGCTTATTTATCTGTGATTGCGACTATCCATGATACCATGATATCCATGATAAATGAAACGTACCGAGTGTTGTCACACCTGGGGTGCGTTCGACTTGGACGCTTACGCGCTGTGAGCGCGCCGTGAGCGCGCCATGGCCGGTAATCTCGGAACAAACGTCTGTAACCCGAGTTTAGTTAGAGCCCCTGCCGCCGGTCGCGCTTGTCTTTTTTTTTTTTTTTTTTTTCACTTTGAAATCGAATTTGACATATGACAGATACGTAAATCAAACATGGCGTCCATTGTAATAAATTTCATGAAGAGATAACCTAGACAATATAATAAATGCTTGTTAAAGTAAAAAACAAATAAGCTGTCGAAGTGCATTGTTTAACGATGAAGAAATACCAAGAAAAATGCATGTATTATGTAGTTCCAGCGAGAAACGACGAAGTAAAAGTAAAATAGTTAATAATATTTGCCGGCTTTCAATCTAAGTGAGTACTTTTATTAATATGCATACTTCGAATTACTTCATTTGATTGTACTATTCTGATATGATTTTTCATTACAGTTTAATAATTCAGAAATAATTGAGACATTTAACTATATCAATACTAGAAATTTTAAGGTTATAAATAGATAGAGAGAATTCCTGTCAGCTTTCTGAAAGGTATGTTATTAAATAACTAAATATAAATTATTCTTGTTCTAATAATGTAGGATCATAACTAATATTCTACATCAATTTTTTCAGCAGTATAAAAGGAAAATACGTTTAAATGTAAATGTTTAGACGGTTTACTAAACACATTCACAAGTATACAAGTATTGATACGAGATGAATGAATACACAGGAAAAAACAATAAGAATGAAGTCTGAAATGTGCTGAAATCTTTGCTGATCTCCCACTAATATTGAACAGTAGGACTCGTAATTATATATTAAGTCAGTTTGGAGAACATACTAAAAACACTAATGATATAATCGTAAGTGGAAGGAAATTCTCAATTAATGGTGAATTCTAGCTAGTGCAAAGGTTAATTAGGTTTGGCTATGTCACAGGAAAGTTTTTAAGTATTAATAATTTTATTGATTCATTGATATTACAAGAAATATTATTATCTGTGTTGTTTAATGATGATAAAGGGAATCACATTGTATAGATTTTCAGGAACTGTCAAATGACAGGCAAAGTATAATCATGATTAATGATAAAATTCTACCTAGTGCAAAGGGATAAAACACCCTTAATGTGCACTGCTTATTGCATTTGACTATTCTGAAAGAGTTGTCAATAGCTTTACTCTAAAATGTCTTATTGTAGATGCTATAAGAAAACTATTAAGTACTGTTATGATAATATCAATGATTGTTGTTTTTCTTTAAGACAATGATAATAATGACATTTTGAACAAACATTTGAATGCACATTAACAATAGCGCAGAAAGATTCCCAAATAGAGACTGTACATCATAGATATTATGTAACTTAATGTAAATCAAAATAAATATATATGTAAATATATATATATATATATATATATATTATATATATATATATACACATGCAGGCCTTATCTATGCATGCAGGTATGAATTGTGGTTATATATGTATATGTATATATATAAATAATATCTACTTTCATGTACATTTCTATTCTTTTTGTGCTCAGCTTGAAAGGCTGATATGCTAAAATGATATTACACACACATATATATATGTATATATATATATATATGTTAAAGTAGTTAATTTTGATGTTGAGAAATATGAGTAAGTTCTTCAAGGGCATACATCAAATAAAAGGCAAAGATTTAGAAGTTAATCTTTAATTTTTCCAAATGTTTCGACATAGTATTTTATGTCATCATCAGTGGATCTACAGAATGAATATTGAAAAATTAATATAATACTAAACAGGAAAAAATGACAGAAATTGGAAAAAGAAACTATAGATATAAGTAATATAATTATAACAATAACAATTATACTAACAGATAGATAAACAAGAGAAATGAAAAGTAAAAAGAAATATATACAAACATACAAAAGCGTAATATATATATACATAAATATACACACAAACAAACGTGTATATATGATATACATGTAAAAACACGTACACATATGCATATATACATACGAACAATACGTATATATAAACATATACATACGGACATGTACATGTATATATACACATATATACATACATACACATACACGTATACACATATACATACATACATATATATACACATATACAATCTATATATATATATATATACATATATATATATATATACATACATATGCAATATGTATGTATTGCATATGTATGTATATTATATATATGTATATATATATATATATATATATATATTATATATGTGTATATATATGTATGTATGTATATGTGTATACGTGTATGTGTATGTATGTATATATGTGTATATATACATATGTACATGTCCGTATGTATATGTTTATATATACGTATTGTTCGTATGTATATATGCATATGTGTACGTGTTTTTACATGTATATCATATATACACGTTTGTTTGTGTGTATATTTATGTATATTATTACGCTTTTGTATGTTTGTATATATTTCTTTTTACTTTTCATTTTCTCTTGTTTATCTATCTGTTAAGTATAATTGTTATTGTTATAATTATATTACTTATATCTATAGTTTTTTCCAATTTCTGTCATTTTTTCCTAGTTTATATTAATTTTTCAATATTCATTCTGTAGATCCACTGATGATGACATAAAATACTATGTCGAAACGTTTGGAAAAATTAAAGATTAACTTCTAAATCTTTGCCTTTTATTTGATGTATGCCCTTGAAGAACTTACTCATATATATATATATATATATATATATATATATATATATATATACATTGTGGATAGCGTGTACATTTATGTACATTTTATGCTTTTCGCACATAGTTTATACAGCTTACTACCATCTATTATAATCATATATAATGTTTATATATATATATATATATATAATAATATATATATACACATTGTGGATAATGTGTATATTTATGTACATTTCTATGCTATGTGTGCATTGTTTATAAAGAGAACTATGTAGATATAATGTAGAATGTTTTTGTGAAAAATAAATGCTTTTTAAAATTTTTTTTTTTTTCAATTTTTCTTTTTTTAAATTTTGAATTAAAACGGTCCATATAATTTTGGTTCATTTCTATAGTATTTTTTATACGCACCCGTTCAGGCGACTAGTGCCATCTGTAGCGGGGGCTTCAACTAACACAGGAATGTGGCAACGAAATATGGCCCGAGAGAGCGATATATATACTCTTCTTTTATCTAGGAGCGCGCTTTCATCGTTCGACTTGGCGCTGTGAGTGTCACATAAGTACGCTCGTAGCACCATCGTGGGATGCTCGTAGCACATATTTTGCGCTCACATATGCTCACGCCACAGAGGTAGGGCAGCGTGAGCGTGAGCGTCAGTGTTTTTACTATCTGTCATTTCATTTATTTATTAATTGTCAAATTCTTTATAATGCCGCAAAATGGCAAGCTGTATATCACAATATTTTTTTAATATAATATTAATATTGATTAATTTTAAATTTAATTAATTTTAAATTTTAATTTCAATATTACTATTAATTAAGCATAAGCTAACCAAATTTCATTATTTATTAATTGTTAAATTCTTTATAATCCCGCAAAAATGCCAAGTTGTATATCACATTTATTTTTTTAGTATTAATATTAATTTAAATTAATTAATTTTGAATTCAATTAATTTTAAATAATTTTAAATTTTAATTTTAATATTACTATTAATTGAGCATAAGCTAACCAAATTTCATTTATTTATTAATTGTTAAATTCTATATAATCCCTCAAAAATGCCAAGTTGTATATCACATTTATTTTTTAATATTAATATTAATATTAGTTAATTTCAAACTCAATTAATTTTAAATAATTTTAAATTTTAATTTTAATATTACTATTAAGCATAAGCTGACCAAATTTCATTTATTCATTAATTGTTAAATTCTTTAAAATCCTGCAAAAATGCCAAGTTGTATATCACAATTATTTTTTAATATTAATATTAATATTAATTAATTTTAAATTTAATTAATCTTAAATTTTAATTATAATATTAATATGAATTAAGCATAAGCAAACCAAATTTCATTTATTTATTATTTGTTAAATTCTTTATAATCCCGCTGAATGATCCAGAAAGTAATAAAATTTACACAATTACCGTTACCGCCAGTTGCCGCCATTTTGATGCTTATTAACGCTCACAATATCCAAAACGAACGGAATTTAGTTATCGATTCTGAGCGCTTATCGGCCAAGTCGAACGCTAAAAATTCGTGCTTATAAGCGTGAGCGCTCACAGCGCGTAAGCGCCCAAGTCGAATGCACCCCTGATCTCTAACCTATGCGAAGTGAGACTCAAATCGAAATGTCAAAGTCATTAATAGATATATTAAAACATATTTATCATTGATGCAAGCATATAAATTGAATATATAGATATATATAGAATTAATAGAGTATATTTATCACTGATGAAATCATACAAATTCAAAGCTTTCTTAATTTTTTATGAATTACTGTTGGTTTTTTATGAAAACGACTAGCGCCGAAAATGTCCGAAGAAACAATTTCAAACCCAATAATTAAAAC